GATGGGCTGATAGGGGATGTGGGTAGAGATAGTAGCTTTTTATGATGAATTTTCAGTTCCTAGTGTTGGCAAGGTAAGCTGCATGATTTAAATGGCTGCTAAATCCAAGGGATCTTTCTGCTCTGACTTCTGTCTTAGAGGGGTCCAATGTCATCAGCCTGGCAGATGGTCATTTCTAGATGGCAGCTGTCTACACTTCTGGTAGTAGTGGTAGGGTGCTGATAGTTGGGGATGTTAGAAGACAAGGACAGGTCCCATCTGAATATTGAATCCCACTTGCGCCATTGGTAAAGTAGGCCCAGGAGGTATGCTTCTGCCTTCTGAATCTATGTGTGGTACTGTGCCAGTATCCACAGCACATGACAAATCACCTTCAGTATACACTTGCTACACATGCTGAGGAAATTTTAGTAATTGACACTGAACTTATTGCATACCTCTCAAGAATTTTGTTTTTTTGGGGCACCTGGGTAGTTCAGTTGGTTAAGTGTCTGACTCTTGATTTCAGCTTAGGTCATGATCTCATGGGTCATGGAATCGAGCCCAGCATTGGGCTCCGTGCTGAAAGCATGGAGACTGCTTGGGATTCTCTGTCTCCGTCTCTCTCTCTGCCCCTCCCCCGCTCACACGTTCCCTTTCAAAACAAATAAATATTTTTTTAAAAAGCATTTAATTTTTTTTTTAGGTTATGATAGCTAATGGTTTCATGGCATCGGAATCCCCTTTTTTTCCTGCCACTATTTGTTTTTCCCAAGTTTGACCCTTGTTATGAGTTCGCACCCTAATGCACACAGAGCACTAATATTTTGTATATGCTAGTGTTGAAGTGTATGAATTGTCCGAAAGAAATACTAATACATACCAAGGCTTAGGACTCTGTCCTTTTGCAGGTGAGACTTTGCTTAAGTCTTATCAAGGTCAAGGGTAACACTACAACAGATATAGTGATTGCCAAATTACTGGTCAATAGAGTATAAATACTTGATACTTATGAGCAAAAATATTTAGAGTATTCCCCCTTTCTTAAGATCATGTAATGGAGATAGTATTTAGATGTGTATTTTTTCCAAATATTCTCAGGGTAAGTGTTTACCTAGGGAAAAATAAAACAGCAGGATTGGATTAAAAATCCCAACAAAAAGGAATGCCAGAGTGCTCTCCGGGCTGCCTTATTTGAGAGGCTGGAGAAACACACACACACACACACACACACACACACACACACACACACACGCTCATAATGTTTTTGTTTTTTTTTCAATGCTATTTGCTCAAGAACCACAGTAATTTAGTTCAAGAATTACATCTAAGCAAACACACAGCTTCTGACTAACACAGCATGTACCTGTGAAGTTCTGATTTGGAATCACATGATGCTCAGATTCCCAGTTGTGAAGACAGTGATGTCACAGTGGATATGGCCCCACTGGGGCTAGAGATGTCCATCCAGCAAGACTCTGGGCTTTGGGGAACAGGAACTTTTCCCTTCCACAGGCAGTGTGAGGGATTTGTATGTGAATCAACACGTATCTCTGTATATACATGCATCAGTGTAGATATGTTATGTATGTATATGTGCAAATGTATGCACGTACATGTGTGTATATGTCTGTGTACATGTGACGGCAGCACTGGAAGAGTTGCTTCTTTCAAATGGATGCTAGAAATTCTGTGCATTGACAATACTCCATAAAGCAGCTTTTAGCAGAGCCAGGCCCAGAGGTGTAGGGCAGGTGTACACGACATTCTCTGCTGGGAATTCTGTGCATTGATGACACCCTTCAAAACAGCCTCGGTGACTGGTCCTGGAGGTGTTTGGGGAGCTCCCTGCTGAAGGACTGTGCTGGCATCCTTGTCTGGCAGCTTTGTCAGGGAGGCTTTCCTTGGGATTCCCGCCCTAGCTTGGAGCTCTTGTCTTTCTTGAGAAGTGTGAGCACTGAAACAACACAAAACCTATGTGCATTCCTGACTCTCATGAGTGACATGAGGCTTTGCTTAACTAGCTGTTTCCTTGAAGTGACCAGTGATAGATAGTTTATGGGGATGGGTTGGTTCTAACCTGTTAATTGATCACTGTTGATTTAACACTAAAGTCTTGTCAGACTCTGCCCCTGCTTGTCATCTAAGTCATATGGCTGTTAGGTTTCTTATTTGTTTTCTCTTCAGGTTCAAAAAGACCGAAAAGTGCACACAAGCATTTGACTATGAGGACAGCAGACAGAGAATTATAGAACAGATAAACAAGATTTAGCATTGTTGTTGAAATCCTGAGTTTGTGTCTGACTGTTTTATATGAAATGGGGTCCTTGCCGTGGGGCAACTGAGCTGGAGACTTGGTTAGCAGTGGTCAGCAAGCAAGTGGATGGATCTCCTCGTCTTTGGGCAGATCAACCAGCTAACACCAAACTGGTAGAAAACTTGCTTTCTTTTCAAGACTTCTTTCCAGTTACTTAATTGTCGGCAATTTAAGAAACTATCTTTGAATCATTTACCTTAGCAAGAAGGTGGAATTGAGGGTATTTGGGACAAAAGAAGGATACATCTATCTGTCCACTTGCTGGAAACTTTCATAGCAGGGGAAAAACTGTGGAAAAATTCCTGGCATATTGAAATACTTATCTGTAACTTGACATTTTAAATATAGTGTTTCTTTTGGGGAGCCTGGGTGGCTCAGTTAGTTAAGCATCAGACTTTGGCTCAGGTCATGACTTTAAGGTTCGTGGGTTAGAGTCCCGCATTGGGCTTTGTGCTGACAGCTCAGCGCTTGAAGCCTGCTTCAGATTCTGTGTCTCCCTCTCTGTCTGCCCCTTCCCCGCTCACACTCTGTCTCTCTCTCTCTCTCTCTCAAAAAATAAACATTAAAAAATTTTTTTAAATATAGTGTTTCCTCAAGGAGTCTTACTATATTCTACTGATAATACTTATATTATTGCCTCCCCCCAATAACACAAAACACCACCAGAACCTGTAAGAAGGGCAACAGGAGCATAGCAAAAGAGAAAAGAAAATTTATAGGGGTAATGAGGACTGGGATTCTCATTTAGATAGCACAGGGAGACGTTGAGGCAGTTGATGCTGATGATTTTACCTTAGGCCAGTGTTCTAAGAGTTAAGTGAGTATTTTATTAAAAGTAGATTCACATGTTTCCACCCCAGATAGACTAAGTCAGAATCTCCAAGGAAGGGATCTTGGAATATTGTTTTGTTTTTTTTTTTAATTTTTTTTTTCAACGTTTATTTATTTTTGGGACAGAGAGAGACAGAGCATGAACGGGGGAGGGGCAGAGAGAGAGGGAGACACAGAATCGGAAACAGGCTCCAGGCTCTGAGCCATCAGCCCAGAGCCTGACGCGGGGCTCGAACTCACGGACCGCGAGATCGTGACCTGGCTGAAGTCGGACGCTTAACCGACTGCGCCACCCAGGCGCCCCTTGGAATATTGTTTTAACAAGCATCTCAGATAACTCTTATGGCCAGACACATCTGGGGAACTGCTATCATCTTATTGCTGACATGAACTACTGTAAAGTATTTCCGAAAGGTGTGTGTGTGTGTGTGTGTGTGTGTGTGTGTGTGTGTGTGTGAGAGAGAGAGAGAGAGAGAGAATATGTAATTGCCAAAGTTTTTAAAGTTTAAAAATAATGGTCAGATATTCTACAGTAGCGTTGTTAAGCATTTCTTGTTTTAAAATATTTATTTATTTTGAGAGAGAGAAAGGGAGAAGCAGAGAGAGAGAGAGAGAGAGAGAATCTCAAGCAGGCTTCATGCTGTCATCGCAGGATCCAATGAGAGGCTCGATCTCACGAACTGTGAGATCATCACTGAGCCTAAATCAAGAGTCACATGCTTAACCAACTGAGCTACCCAGGTGCCCCAAGCATTTATTAGTAAGAACATCTGTTATTCGTGTAGGGTAGTATGGTTACAGAGGGTTTTCCATGTATTATCTCATTTGTTCCTAATAGCAATCCTATGAGGGCTTGGACAGCAAAGATCATGCTCACCCCCAGGTTACACACGGGATGTGGGCTCAGCACATGGCTGGCAAGTGGTGGAGCTGGCTTTGAACAGGATTCTTTTTCACGTGGGGCGAGCCCAACATCAACCCCAGAGCACACCACTTTTCTTCTTTTACCCACTCTCTGGTCACCAGATTGATGGCAGCATTTCTGAGATATCAGGTTCTTTGCATGTGCACACCTTTGCACACCCTGATCCCTGTGCCTGGAATGTCTTTCCTTCCCGGTTTGCAAACTCATGCTCGTTCATTATAGTGCCTTCCATGAAGCTTTTCTAGATACACTCTTCTCTTCATCCTACCTGCCCTCCAAGCAGAGCAAGTTTCTCTTTCAGTTCTGTTTCCATCACTCTTTATAAATCCCTTTTCTCTGTGTCAGGTCTTGTTTAATGTGGGTGAGTTCAATAATAAGTGCTCGGTAATATCCCCCTTCATGATCCCCACCCCACCATTATACCACTTACTTTGAACAGGTAGTAGGGATATAATCACATCTGAAACACTCAGTGCCTTTAGTGTTGGCTAAGCTCTGGGAAGCGTTTGAGAATGATTTCAAAGGCTTTCCAAACATTGAAAAGAAGTGTTCACGAGGCCAGAAACATGGCCATTAACATCTTCTAGAAATGGAATTGTCTGAGGGTAACCAGGGTACATTGTCTAATGAGAGGTCGGGAACTATAGGGGACTGTATGCTCAAAACTGCAGATTTGGTAATTTCCTTGCTGGGAAATTTAAGTGTGTTTCAAGGACGTCTTCAATTATGGGTGATTTTCATGTCATACTCATAGCCCCAGGTTGGATGTGACTATCTGTTACGGCTTTCAAATTGCATTATAGTTATTTCTCTATGCAGCTACCTCCCCCACCAGACTTCTAGTGTGGGTGAGTCTGAGCCATATTCATCTTTGTCTGCCAATTGATTATTGTTGAATAAACTTTTGGGGAATGCCTCTTATAGCCATCTGCATCTGAATGCAGTTAAATGTGTTTAAGTACAGTTCTAATTCAAATTCTCCTGTGTTTACAGCCACCCCTGGTCCAAGCAATCTTCAGCGGTGATCCAGAGGAGATACGGATGCTCATCCACAAAACCGAAGATGTGAATGCTCTGGTAGGAGATGCTATGGTTTTGCCTGCTCAGGCCCTCTTAACCTTTCTGTACTATGGACCTCTGTGGTATCTGGTGAGAGCTCTGGGCTGCTGCTCAGAATTCTCTTTTTAAGTCCACAAAATAAAATATATATGGTTAGAATGGAAGTCAGTCATATGCAAATACAGTTATCAAAATATTCAATATCAAATCTGTGATAGAATAATATATGTGCTTCTCTGTCAGTACATTTAAATAGCAAGATACAATGGAAGATCTAATAATGAGCATAACTGAAGAATAGTGAGGAGCGTGATCAATATTTTGTGTTGTCTGTGACCACTCTAATGTGGTAGGAACATACCTGTGGTTTCTGCTGGTGACCAAGTCACAGTTACTGTTGACACTACTGAGAATTGCTTCCTATGTTCACAATGGAAGGAAATGTGAAATTTCCATCGGAAGTTAGTAAAAATAAAGACATATTTTTATATCCAGAACCCAGGCTCTGCCACAGGGATTGACAAACTATGGTTCATCACCTATTTTTGTACAGGCTACCAGCTAAGAATGGTTTTCATTTTTTTTTTTTTTTAATTTTTTTTTTCAACGTTTATTTATTTTTGGGACAGAGAGAGACAGAGCATGAACGGGGGAGGGGCAGAGAGAGAAAGGGAGACACAGAGTCGGAAACAGGCTCCAGGCTCTGAGCCATCAGCCCAGAGCCTGACGCGGGGCTCGAACTCACGGACCGCGAGATCGTGACCTGGCTGATGTCGGACGCTTAACCGACTGCGCCACCCAGGCGCCCCTGGTTTTCATTTTTTAAATGGCTGGGGGAAGAAATGAAAAGAAGAACAATTATTTGTGACACACGAAGATTATATGATATTCAGATTTCCATGTCTATAAATCAAGTTCTCTTGGGGCACAGCCATGACGGCTTTCACACTGTAGCAGCAGAGTTGGGTAGTAATTGATGACAGAGACTGTATGTGGCCCAGAAGGTCAAAGATATTTACTATCTGGCTGTTCAGAGGGGAAGTATGCTGACCTCTGCACTAGAGGGTCCATGAACCTGGGACCAGTGGGTAAATCGGGTACCCTGAAATCATATGTAATACATGTGTGTGCTTATGGACGTGTATTTTTTTCTGTGAAAGAGTAAAGACATTTCATAGTATTTGTAAAGGGGTCTGTGGCCCCCAGAAGATTCAGAATGGTTGGATCTGGAAGTTCCTGAAATAAACAAAGCTTCAATGAAGAAAAGTGAAAAGAGTTAGTCAATGATTTACCCTTGTAATAGTTTCCTAGACCTAGATTGAACAAGCAATTACATGTAGTCCATGCCACTAATTCTCTTAATGTAAATCAATTACCTCAGTGCTGTAGTCCATCAGGGAGAGGGGCTCTCTTTGAAGTCTCTAGCGTTAGGTGGAAATGACAGAAAGAGTCAAACACATCTGCAGAAGAAGAGCTTTGCCACAGGGAAATGAATTATGTCTGAGGTTGAATCTCTGTCCGGTCGGCTGAATGCTTCATTTGGGAAAGTCATTTGGTACAGCCCTTGTTCTGCGGCAGTGCAGATTGGTGTGGCTTTCTGAAAAAGCTTCTGGCAGCTTCTCCCCAGCTGGCACTGAAAACAACAGGGCAATGTTTTATGACATTTTGCAAGGTAAGCACCGATGAGGCCAGGGCCAAACTACTTGAGAAGGCAGTCAGGCATTTGTCCAGAGCCTATGGGGCGTGACCCATCCTTCTGAGAGGAGCCGAGGCCAGCAAGCTGACTGTCCAGTGTTCTGACATCACCGGAATTTGTCTAGCTTATTTTGTGGCTCTGGCCCAAGCCCAGGCAAGCCCAAGGCAAGGTTAGTTACTATCTTTTCCTGATGATTATGAGCAAACCAAGCTTCTGTTCATATCAAGAAAGGTTGCACTGCCCTCTGAATGGCCTTTATTTCTCCTTTGGAAAGTGGCAAACACTTGCTGGCTGTTAAAGGTTAAGAAGGCTTAACTTCAGTTGTAACCTAATTGTGTTACTGAATTAGATAGGTTAACTGCTGTAACACATAGACTTCTAAATATATAATTGCTCAGATATGAGAGAAGTTTAGTTCTCTTATGAACAGATCAGAGAGGTGGCTCTTTTCCACAGAGGGTCCTAGGTATCAACACATAGCTTCAAAGGTCACCCAAGGGATTCATCTTCAGTCCAGCCAGTCAGAAGGGAAAAAAGAGCATGGAGGCAAAGCACAGGACGATTCTTATGGGTGATCTTGGAAGTGGCATAATCACTTGAGCACACAGCCCATTGACCAGAACTCAGTCCCATGCCACACTGAACCACAAGGGAGGTTGGGAAATTAGTATAGCTGTGTCCCAAAAGGTTGGAGAACATGAATAGTTAGCAATCTTGGCCACATCAATTTTTGGTACTACAGAATTTTAGGGAACTCAAGGGATAACACTTACTTGTCTTTGCAGTGCCTTACTCATTCAACAGTAACTGACTGAGTTCGGACCCAGTGCTGAGTGCTAGGGATATAGCAGTGAGATTGCTCTCTCCCTCATGGGCTTGTGACATGGCAGAGAAGCCAACAAATGTGGAATCTTATTGACATATATTTTGAAAGGGAAAATGCAGGACACTGTTAGGGGTCTGGGTTAATCATGAGGGACTGATGAAGTGATGTGGCAAATTGACACCGAAGGGATGCTGTTGCAGAGGTTGTGTGTGTGGGCTTTTGGATGCCCTGCATCAGGGAAGGGTGGGGTAGAGGGAGGAAGAGCAATAAATGAATGAATGCCTGACCTCCTTCCAGTGATGGTGTGGCTCCTTGGGTCCTGGTCCCTTTCCGCCATTGTCACTTCTGTAGACCCTCTCTTCATATCCCCCTTTCCCTTCCCTCGGGTGAGTGTAAAGAACCTCACTTGATTCCCTGCTCTCTTATCAGATACGTTGGAGACAGTGAGTTGTTCTCTTAATGCCATGCTTTTCTTTGGCCAACACTGCTTGGGGATCAGTCGTGTTGACTGTTTTGCTAGGGGTGGATTAGGCAGTTTAGGGAGAGTGATTGTTAATGAAGGGCATATAGAGATGGAAGACAAATAAGGATTAGGGATCTAAGTCTGCAGCTTTACTTCAGGAGGGAAGAGAGGCCACTAACCAGTACATTTAAATGGCAAGGAAGGGAAATAAATAACAGAGGAGCCTCCTGTTAGTGGGAGGACAATATTTGTCTTCTTCTCTTCTCACCCTTTGCTTTTCTCTCTTTACCGTATTTATTCACTTAAATTTTCTTTTTTGTCCTAGGTTCTGATTTTTTTTTTTTTTGCCTTCTTTTTTCTTTCCCACCTTCCTGTGTCTTTTGATTGGTCACCTGTTCTTTGGTATGAATATCCCTTGATTAGGGGCTCCTGATATGGGAAGCAGTCTCATTCAGCTTTGCCTCTCTGTGTTTTTCCTATCTTGATTTCCCACTGGCAGTATTCATGGACCCCATGTGTGAACTGAACAAAGTTATTCAACCCATTGGTATTTATTTTCTCATTTCTCCACTGTTCCCATCCCATCTGCCTTTCCAGACCTATTGCTTCTTCCATTGAGTTGTCCTAATTCTCGTTTCCTTTTTGCTGCCTTTTCTGCCACCTCCCAACCCAGTCAAAGAAACCTACCTCTTCTTTCACCTCCCATAGCTCCTTGTCCCTCACTGATCACTTTACTTGAGCTATTTAGTTTTGAGAGACTATGAGCTTGATGACATGGTTGCTATGTCATTCATTCTCTTTTCCTCAATTTCCTACTTCAGTCCTTGGAGCACATGTTGAATGAATGACTAAACCTTGCTTTATTAGTTATGTTAAGCCAATTTGTGGTGGCCTGTTTTTCCTATCTGCCAATGAGGGGGTACATTGTCAAATAGTGTCTGGCTTGGTTAGTGTCCCTCAGGTCTCAGTTGTAAGATTAAAAGTTTTCTTTGTAAGATTGCAAATCTGTAGGTGGATTTGAGGAGCCACTGAAGGACCAGGAAGTCCTTTTTGTGGATTCTCTGGCTGGTGGCATGCCAGGGTCAGGAAATGTGGGAAGGCAAGTTGTACACTCTGAGAAATTCATTTAAATTGACCCACATGTAGTTGACAACTAGAAAGATTTTAGAAGGCTTTATCAGACTAACAAATTGAGCTAGAATTCAAAGTAGAGCATCTGAATTCAAAATGAATGCATAGAGCCTGAAAACCAAATTTGAACATAATACAGTCATTTTTAGGATTATGCTATGACAATGTGACACCAACAGACCGTTCCACTGTGCCATGCTGGAATGGGTACAGAGATAATTAGTGCCTGTCATTGGTGAGTGGTAAAGACCAGGAGGGAACCATGCCATGCGAGGAGGGGCTGAAGAAGCTGGTGATGTTTTAGACCTGGGAAGAACAGGAGAATTTGAGGCCTCAAATAGTTCAAATGCTGTCAAGTTAAAATGGAACTAGACTTACCATTATGTCGGTGGTTGTAAGCTACCGAATGGATATACAGCTCGAAATAGAAGAAATAACTTAATGGACAGAGCTGTCTAAAGAAATAATGAGCTGACTTAATAATAAGTAGTAAGCTCCCTGAAAGACCACTAGACTGGTGGTTCTAAGTGGTTCTAAAGGAGACTAATTGTAGCACATGGCCCCAGTCTCCTCTCATGTGCCCTGAGCTGACCTTGCTAATGGTTTGTGGCATTTCTTTTTCTTTGAGTCTTAAAGACCAAAATTTCTTCTCAGGACAGCACTATTAAGTTGGAGTTAGCCTTTAAAATGAAACCTCCTTCCCATGCCTGGACTAGGTGATGTTTAAAGTCTCTTACAACTGTGAAGGACTACAATTCCAAGATTTTTAAGTCCCACATGATAGCAAACCCATGGTGTTTATTTCTTTTTTAAAGTATCAGTAACAGTTATGAATACACACATGTGCACTCATGCACACACAGCCATGATCATACCAAACAAAATCAACAATAATTCCTTAT